TTCATTCTCATTTTTATTTCCGTAGAGGAAAAGCTCATTTCTACAAGCAACAACTGCACAGAATTATGTGATGAACTCAATTAACTCGGCGGCTGTTAGTGGCTGTTGCCGACGATCTCGCATGGTTTATCTCAAATAACTTGTTTTGCCTCCACTTCGGCAAATATAGTGCACAGTTTGACAACTGTTGCAATTCTTTTTCAGAATAAGCTTATTAGTAGCGATGTGGACAGCGTCTGTGTCTGTTCTCTGATAGATGATAAGAAAACTAATCAAAATGTGTGAACGACTAAGCGTATTCCTACTTATAGATAAACAATGGCGTCTAAATTTGGTTAAAAAACGAAAAAATAAACATCAGCGACATACTCATGCGTCTTTACCTCATGTGTTGCCTTTTTTTCGTTCTACCACATTTTGACATCACTTATGATGTACCTTTGTCTGAAAAAACACATAGCAAAATTTGTTATAAATTTCCTTTCTATCATCTATCTGTAGAACCAGAGGACGAGCATGGGGGTATTGATGCTTCTACTCAACAACTGCAACGTGAAAGTAAGTGGAAGAGGGCATCAAGAAAGACATAAACACAAGACGAAAATAAACAGACTCTTAAAACAATAGTGTAATTGTGTTACAAAGTCAACGTGCATTCATTTCGTCTATTCAAAGTCTTTTCCTTCCCTGAAGACTGTTCATCACATGAGAAACGAGGGCCACATTGAGAGGGTGGTGGAATTCAAACTTACTTCTTTTTCGGTGGTTGTTTAATTGAAAAATATCCATACTTGTGAATCGGCATTCTTGCGTGTGTCTGATTGTTTTATAGAAACAGAGAACGATTTGGATGATGCTCTGCGTAAGGGTGATTTCGATGCGATTAATCAAACGTTGACTCCAAAAACCCTGGCAAGGTGTAAAACTAATTCCTTACTCAAATCTCTTCAGGTTGGTCTTGTAATTTTATATTTACCAATTTTACCGATATACTTTACTTTAGGCTGTTTCGCCAGACTAGGTGAAAAATGTAATCCTTATTCACTGTGGTTTTGTTTCACCACTCCATATGATTAGCTCGTCATACGCATACCACTCTCTCAACTGATTAGCGCCAAAACTATAACCAGTCGTAACTTCTTCACTGTCCGAGAGTGTCCTTGTATCTTTATCACCCTTAAAGGATCACTGGCTTGCAGTTATATCTTGTTTTTGTTCTTACTGGTCATCGAGGTCTCTGTGTGCTAATTTACGACAGAAAATTAAAAAAACTCTCCTACCATGTGCAACAATTGGAGGCTAACAAGAGATCAGAAACAATATCATTGATTTTTACAAGCCATTTGATAAAGAAGATAACTTCATTTCTTTATAAACTTAGGTAAACAAAGCACTGCGAAATTTAGTACATGGTGCGAACCCGGAGAAAGACGATATAGAACAGCTAGAAAAATCTATAGGCGAGTTCGCAGCAGCCTTGATAGATCCTCTTAAAGCCGACGACGATACCAGAAATACATTTCAAAGTTGTTTTGATGATGTGGTGGACAAGGCAATTGACACAAAGCAGAAGAAGGTACTACATAAGTGATAAAAAAGGTTTCTAATGAATAGTTTCTGATATCCTTCAGCCCTAAAGTCGATTTTAGTGCGAATGCTGTCGCCCATCTGATCACATAGGTGCCCTTACCTTTACATGCAGTGTAAGTAAGGAAAGAAGAAAGACACTTAACATTATTATATGCCTAGACTTTCAGTCAACAAAACGAGCACGAGGATCGATTCTATATTCGTTTCTTCAACCGCAGCGCACACATATGATCTTTGTATGTTTACAGCCATTATTCACCACTTCGAAGGTTTATTTGGATCCAACATAATAACCAGCTCTCAGTTGGCTTGTTAGGTAGAGCGCTGCACCAGTATCGCAGAGGTTATGGGTTCAAATCCCGTACGGGCCTGAATTTTTTTTTTCAGTCCTTATTTCAACTAATAGTTCAGTGGTGTTCATAACCGCGAGGATCTATTCTATATTCGAGCACTGTGATTGGTTGATTCTTGGTCACGTGCCCTTGATTAAATTCAAATGTATCCCGACCGGGATACAATTGCGCAGTTGTTGCTCGCGCGCCGAATACAACAGCATGTTTTTGCCACATGATTGTTTAAAGGAAAGTCTAAATATGTAACAAAGCACTTAATATATGGTCCCTCGGGAAACTAGTTTGTTTTGTTTTCCCTCGAGTCCTGATGTTTCCCGAGACTTCAAAACTAACTGTTTCCCGAGGGACTTTACATTAAGTGAATAATGCTCCCACCAAACACCACCAGTGAAAGCTTCCTCGCCGGTGTGATATTACAAAGGGGAAAAGATACTTTTAAGATTTATGCACACAATATTACGATATACTTGGTGCCAATCAAATGTACAGGACGTCATTTTGGAGTGTCTCTCTACTTTATGTTCAAAGAGGCAATTAATCAATTTCCAGTGAAAGAAACTATATTCTAGTGAATCTACTAAATGATGTGAGGCCAAACTGAATGATTTAAAGACACTGAACACACCCACAGCTCGACGCCATCGCCAATCCAGCCTGAAATTATTTTCTACCTTAAATTGTCTTAATTTTTCTTCTAAAAAATCTTTCACACCCTTGCTTTAGCAGTTCTCTTCTGTTGTAGATCACAGATGACGTAAAAATGTGGTAAGAACAAAATGGTGGCACATGATGCGTGGTCGGGTGTGTCACTGATATGTCGCTAGAATTGTTTTGAATTTAATGAAGCCAAAATTTGTTCATGCTGACGTCTCCTCTGAGATTCTCCTCTGATAAGTAATAAGCATGAACCAATTCAAATTCAACTTATTGTGTAAAACAAATTATCCACGAATTTTTTCGCAGTTCATCTTTCACCCAGTGGTGTATAACTTGCTTAACTCCAGATGGTACCGCTCCTTTTTTCACGTAAGAAAAGAATCATGGCGGACACCTAAACGCTGGGGATACTTTTTTCTCAACCTCTGGACGGTGTTTGACATCTTCTTTTTTCCCTTTCTCTTTGCCATTTTCTTCGTCGTGCATTTGGTAAAACGGGCCTTGAGGAGGAAAAGAGGTTTGTAATATCGTTTTGTTAGCATTCGTTAAAGTAGTTGACATGGTACAGTAGATGGTAACGCGTTTTAGTAAGCTCTCAGGTATTCCAAAGGTTTGGGCCTGGAGGGGGTGAGGGGTGGGGCGCGGAAGGTGATGGCTTTTCTGTAGTTTATTTCTAACTCTAGCAAACTGAGTCCTCTCAATTGAAAAAATGCAGAAGTCCTTAGTAAGGCTATGCGCGAAGCGCGGGTCACGCATTTTTCTTCCCTGGCACGTGAAACGCGCACCATGCTTGCCTCGTGCTTGCAAAAAAACTAAGCCTGTTTTGCAGGCTACATCGTTCAAGGAGCGTTTACAGGCCTGGTATTTGTTCCCACCTGATCATAACAGTCTTAAGAATGGTTGAGATTGCTAAGTCTTGAGATTAGATACAAGGAGCTACTGGAGAGTTGTTGTGGTGCATGGTATCAGTTGTTGCATGTTTCCTTTATCGATCAGTGGTTTAATCCGCTTTCCTTGATCATTTTTCAGAAACTAAAATATGTTTTGTTTTGACGCTGGGCAAAGATACCTCAGAAGAAGAATTTGATCTGGTTAAAGGGACGATAAACTACATTGTTCGTGAATATGGCTGCCACTCTGCCAAATACTGTGTTGTTTTACATAAAGACCACGAAAGAATCGGTAACATCAACTTTGAAGAGAGGTGCACTACTGAGGCTGCACTTCGAGTGAGGATTAACGCGTTAGAGCTGCCAAGCTCTGCCAGTTCACTCGTTGAAGATCTTGTGGCCACCCAAAGTGTTTTCATGGACCAAACACTTGGGAAGGAGGCCAAAAAGGTGAGGTATACGTGCGCGCAACCGTTTTCCGGAGCGCTGTCAAGTTTTGCCTCTTAACTTGTTTCCATGGGCTCATTTTGCAGTCATGGGCTGGTTATCAGACCTTGGTAAGTTATTCCTACCAATTCATATTCAATGTTGATTTAATTTGACGACCACACGCTACAGTTGATTTATGTTTAAATCATAAATACAAATCATGTTTTAGTTAGTGTCATGGCTCATGGGCCGGCCTCTTGCATTTGCCTTCTTGCTGAAGAACTCAGGCTTTCCCCTCTCGCTTCAAGCTTTTAAACTCGCTGTTACGCCGAATAATCAAGCTTTCATTCTCTTTCTCTGTCAGATATCAGCAAGAGAAAAACATGTCCCACTATTTTCCTTAGGTATCAGTAAATAGCAATAACCTTTACAAGATTGCTATTGGCTCGTAATCTTCCCGTCTTTCTTGAGAACTATTGCGTAAAACTCCTCGGAAATTTTGTTCAGGACCTCTGGTACGTCTATTTTGAGAAATTTGTCTTTTAAGTCCCAAAACTTCCAGACTTTTAGCCGGATGTTTGTGCTTTTTGAGGTATCTTTGTTGTGAGTATTCTCCTGTAAACTCTGAACTAAAACGTGGTTACTTTCCAATAACCTGTCCGCCATTTTGTTCTGCTGTGCTTTCGCGACTTTCTTGACAATCGATTTAATTTCAACTTTCTGCAATCCATTTCACTTTTTGCATTCAGTTTCAACTCTCTGCACAGTTTGGGTTAATTGACGCCTTCTCAGCCAATGAGCATGCTGAAATTTTTGCATTACATGTACATAACAGCTACAGTTATTAGTTGTGTGAACAGATTAATTAAACGGCGAAATAAACAAAACCATCAATAACTTATGCAATAGATCCAGTAGTTAAGATACTTACAAGCACATCAGCAATATTCACTGCGAATCCAATCATTGTCGTTGAAAGTGTTTGTTTTTTCACTGAAAAAAATTCAAGCATCTCTTTCATAAGAAGGCTGGTGTAGTTTCAAGATTGGTAAGTTTGGGCTCATATTTGATAAAACTTGTAAATTTGGTTTTGAGAACCAAAGGGATAAATATCACCTTTTTTTAATTTTATGTTTACATTAGGTGGTCGTGCTCTTTCTTAATTACTCGTTACACAAGGTTATGGCTGACACCGAAAGACCACCGCCCTTAGTAGAGGAGATACAGGGTATGCAAGTTAACATCTTTCCCGTCGGTATCGGGGAGAACGCCAAATTATCAGAGTTAAATAAGATGGCAAGTAAAGGTAGCACAGCACGCCACTTTGGAGAATACGAGTCACCCGAGACGTTGGGGACAGCTGTCATACAAGGTAACCTGGGGAGGTTTAAAGTTATGATTTTAAAAAACCCTTCTTAGAACGATTATTCTCCCATTTGGTTTGGGAAAAAATAAGAAAGTATTGCATGCAGTTGTTACAGTTCGAATTGAGGAAGGTTTTAAACGGTGCTATATTCAAAAAAGCTTTAACTTTTCTCCCCACTGCTCGGAGGTGTAACTGGCTTTATAATTGATATGTTTTACTTTCTTACAGGTATCGAGGGAAAGAACATCTATGGTGAGGACGGGCTATTTTTGTTAGCTAGATTTCCAAAGACCGTTAAACTTTTTTTTTCTGATGATTTTTGCTAAAACGTCAGTGCTTTCAGAGTTTTCTTTTGATGGTCTCCATTCTATGCTAGCGTCTCAATCATTGTCCTACCGAGTACAACTATGATTACTATGATGTCTTCCAGAGAAATACAAGGATTACTTTACGACTCCTTATTTCATCTTTTTCCGCGACACGCTGAGCTATCTCACCCTCCTTGGTCTTCACTTCGCCATTTGCCTGTTCCCTTCATCTGTTGCCTTCAGTCGACTAGAATGGGCCATTTTAGTTTTCTTCTTGGGACGCGTTGTGATGGAGGTGGATCAGTTTATTAGTGTTAAGGAGGCTGGAATGAAAGCACAAAAGCTGTGGAGGAGGAATAGGGGTGGCTCCAGCTACCAAGTACGTTCACATGAGGGTCACCAAGAGACAAATGAGGCAGAAGAAGACAATATCCTGCGAAAGAAGCTTAGTAATTATTTCAGGTATTTCAGATTTTTTTTGTCCGTTTTCTAGTGACAATAGTAGATTCTCATTCATATGGGAGTATGATCAGCTAGGAAGGATGGGGAAAAAGAGTTTACAGCTTGAAGAAGGTAACAAAATGAGCCACTGTTCTCAGCTTAGGTGCACTGGTCATTTTTTGAGGGCTACACCATCAATCATGAGGTGACATTGTTCACTGTCTTTGTTCATCGATAGAAACCGGTGTTTATTGTTTTAGTACATCAGTAGTTAGCTCGTACCCATTGTAACAACAAATAGTGGTACATGCAAGAACTGATTATCTTGCTTCATAATTGTGCAAGGTCTAGCTGTTCACGGATTACATTAAATATATAATGGTCTTCTAGTACTGATATCTACTACTTTTTTAGTGACCGTTGGAATGTGCTTGACTTCATCATTCTTGTTTTCTACCTGATTACCTTCATACTACGCATAATTACATGGAGGAACTCCACGGACGTGTCAGACAACAGACTCTTGGCTGTGTCAGAGTATTTCTATGGATTTATCGCCATGTTTCTCACACTGAGAGCCTTTGGTCAAGTCATAGAGGGCGTGCGGGGAGTGGGTGCAATACAAATCGCTTTGTTCTTTGTTATCTGGGATGTAATGGCGATATTTTGGCAGTTTTTGGCAATTATTCTGGCATTTTCTCTGGCTATGACCAAGATATATGTTGCTGAGAAGGCCTCTACCTTAGGAAAAGATTCCGCGGAGGATTTGTGAGTACATGTTGCGATTTTTCTCAATCATCGAAACCGTGAACGACAGATTCTAAATTGTTGGGTCTCTTCATTTGTTACTCTTTTTAGTGATGGGGTGGAAGAGCTTTCCTTTAACGTTATGGAGGGAAACCTCATGTCTGTCTAGGCACCCACTGTAGGAAACAGTAGGCCATGGGAAGCCTAACAGGAGAGTAAAACTACTCAGATCAGAATATGAAACGTTGCATGAAAGACCAATTTTTTACAGTCTTTATGAATATTCACGCAGGAAATTTCAGAAACAGGCCTCAATAAATAAGTCAGTGCGTAGCTCAACCACTACACAAAAGGTTTAAGATCAAATTATGATAGCCTGTAACCCATTAACTATAATCATCGCTGGGTCAGTCGAAGTCATAAATTGTGAGGTCAGTGAGTTGCTATACACTGACTTTTGGTGCTTCTGGAAGTACCAAAATTTATGGGTCCAGGAATTTTAGTTAACAGTTTCTCTGGAGCAACACAACCGTGTAAAATAAAATTCGGAGGGAGGAGGAATGGTGGTGATGTAACTTTGACAATTCATGTTGGTTAAACCGTAAACTGTGGCAACGGTTTCCTTAACCATTCATTTTCTTCTATCATTTTTAGGGCATGCAGTGATTCCGGGCTAATTTGGTAAGAGTAAAACTGTTGTGTTTTTTTTGTCTACTCTAATTTTAACTTTGTACTCTGATGTCTGAAATATACCAGGTTACACGAAATTTTTGCTATACTTGAATTATTTAAAAACCTTTCAAGCGTGAAATTCTATACCTGAGGCGTCGGAAAAGTGAATTAAGGTCTCCCGAGAGGAAAAAAAGGGGAAAAAACCATACTGATGTGTTAAAATAAGTACTGTTGTTCAACCACGAGCTTTACCAGCTTCATCATAAAAATTTACAGGGAAGACGCTCTTTCCTTTCATGGCAGCAGATTTACTAGAACAAGAAGCAGAGCTGCGAGTGAAGAAACCCTCTTTGCTCCCCATCCCTCTCGCGGCTTCCCTTCCAGTTAATTAACGCTACTTCGCCAACTAATTATAAACCTGTTGAAAGGCCAGCCCAGCTATTAGTTTACCTTCTTAAGAGGTACCTTACGGTTTCTCCTTCTGGAAAAATCCAGACTTTAACGTTGCTATTTCTTTTGACTAGTGATATCCCTCAGGTTTAAGGTTATCTTGTAATATTTTAGATACCAACACGTAAATGTGTTGATGTTTGACTTAATGGAGCTGACCAGGAATCTTGAGAACAAATTTTGTAATCGATGATCCATCTATGAGCAGTGACATGATGGCCTCTAGGACACAGACGTTTAAAAACATTTATTGCGGTCATGACGATCTCAATTTAAAAAATTGAGTGGTTTTTGCTCTAACTCGTTGCTTACGTTCTTCAGTTGGTGGAACATAGCGACACACCTTGGTTGGTCTTTACTGGGTTTAGCTGACCTGGATAGGTTGAATTCCGTCGACAATCCTTCCGTTTCCCTTGTTCATGTGCTGTACAGCTTCTTCTTAATCCTGGCAGTTGTTCTTCTCGTGAACATGATGATTGCGTTGCTCTCCAATACCTATCAGCAGGTTCAGGTACTAAACAGTCTCTCAGCCTTCGCTGATGGATAGTAATTCTGTTCATAATCCAGAGTTAAGAAAATATGAGAAGTTCTCGACTGTAAACTTGGTGGAACTTTTTTTGGCGTAAGATATAAAATATATTTTCTGCAAAGTTCAAAAGATTCTATGATTATCTGTAATTGTACTTTTGGCCAACTGACGCTTTAGACGAAAATGATGGTGAATATTGTCCCGTGGGTATGATATATCAAAAATATTCTTCCGCTGAAGGAGTGTCGCCTGTTGTTTTTATTAACCGGTACTTCCTTAGAAGCTGTTAAGTCCCTCTCATTCCTCTATTATCAGGATAATTCACTGCAGGAGTGGTCTTTCAAGAGAGCCATTACTGTAAGAACTTACAGCACCTATCACCCGATACCAGTGCCCTTCAACCTTTTGTCTGTCCCCCTGATAATACTCTGGAACCTATGTTGGCGCGACACTCCTGCTTCGCGCGAGGGCGGACGGGTAAGCTGCGGCCTTGCCAATTAGTTCTGTGAGTTTTAACAAGCTGCTGTTGTTTAAAGTTATCGTTCACGTCTGCTCAGTGATTTTACTTTACTTTCGATGTGGCCTTCTTTGATTCGACAGAGAGTAGCTCTGAATAAAGTGGTGAAGAAACTAGAAAGGATGTACTTCGGGAAATACGGTTATGAATTTCCCCTCACAGGTGAGTGATGTGCTAGATTGGTAGATAGCCCCAGAAATCTATGATATGGTCATAAAAAAGAATATGGCGCAAAGAGATGTTTTTCTACTAAACCTTGCTTTGCTATGATCAAAGCAATAGTTCTAAAGAAGTTTATAACATGACGGACAAGAAATAAAAAAATCACAAATGAAGAATTCCAGTAATGATAATCTATTTATAACGAGGCGTATCGTAATGATTTTGCTGACTAGATTCAGAAGAGGCCAATTTAATATTTGGTTCCTTGCTTTGTTTTAGAGGGGAAAAAGATAGATCACTTGGTGCAAGAAAATGAGGGAGGACGAAAATTGGCCAATCAGATAGTTCGGCAAGTATTCCGACCGCGTGGAAACAAGGAGGAAAAACTTGCGTCTGGTCACAGAGTGAGTGTTTTTGAGGTCCACATTCACATGTTAATTAAACAGGAAGTTTCCCTACCATATACTATGGATCTTGCTCCATCAGGATACACCTTTTTAACCATTTTAATTTGCATTTTAACCTTTTCCCTCGCACAAAAATTTAAATGTACGATTGAGAAAATCTTTCAAGAAACGTTCTGCTGTAGTTTCCTTGTTCCCTTGAAAAAAAACCGAACTTGTTTTGTAGTGACATAGAAAAGCTGATCTCAAATGCTTCACCGGGAAGTACAAAAAAGTCAACAAAATTTTCTCTCGACGCGCGATACGAAAATTAATGGGAGGGTTATAGCTTGAATAAAACCTCTTATAGCTTGCTGGTATGTCGGCTGACAATGTCCCTGGTTGAGAGATTGTCTTTAAGTTTTCAAATTTCTCCTTGAAGCTTTGGTTCTTGGCCAAATATTCATTTTTGGACAATGTCTCAGCCGCAGACATTTTCAGGTGACATACCAGCCGCCTGAAGGGGTCCCTCGTGTTACTGAAGTTTTGTTCGATTGTCATTTTAAGGCGTGGTATGATTCGCCGGGAATTGCTGTCGATGGCTGTCTCCTAACTTACATGGGACCTAATTTCTGCAACATATGCAAAAGTGGAAATCGTAAGAACATTCACAGTGCCAAGTTCAAGTCTCCCTTTACACCAGAGACACCAAGATTCGAGGTGTGCTTTTGATTTATAGAAAATTATTTGCAAACAAAAAATTTAATTCATATACTTCCTGCTTCATGATAGATTCTCTGAAGATGCAACATAATTACATTGCCTTTTTACCCTCTTCTCTTAAATAACCTCCCTCTTGTTGGCGCTGGTATTCTTTTCTATTTTGTAGCACTACAGATACTAATGTTTTTAAGAATGAACTTAAAGGTGCCAGAAAGACCAGACCGGTTCCTGAAAAACATCTTTATGTTCCTCTTGTGGTATCCTATTTTCACCTTTGCTTTCATGGTAACGTGTCAACATGGATCTCGTTTGGGCACTTAACCCTGTAACACCTAAGAGTGACTATGATGTAATTTTTCCTCACATTGTTATCCCTGAGTCGAACATTAGGGTCACATGGATAAAGTAAATGATCACCAACCGAAAAAGCTCTTCATTGTTTAAATAATTCTTCCTTATCAGCACAATTGTATAGAGTACAGCATGGAGAATATTCATAATGATGTTAGGGTATGAAAGGTTAAATTTATCTCCTTGCTCCACTTCGTTGAGGTGCATTTCAGGGTCAAGTTATAAGGCCTTAGATGGCCACCTTTGAATAGCGTGATGGTGCCTTCGTTCAGCCGAAATTCCTTTTTGGATTAATCGTTTATATTTATATTATTATTGTCGTTATTATTATTGCTTTGTAATCATCATCATTATTGCAGTTGTTATTATGGCTGCTTTTGTTGTTTATATGATCATTATTTCGGATGTTGGTTGTTTATATTATCACTAACATCGTCTTTATTATCGTTATTATTTTGCTTTGGTCTAAGAAACTAGTATTCCCTCGGTCTCATGAGCAAAAAAACTCATTTGCATACTGAAACAAAAATTAAAAACATGGGACTTATGGCAACCGTAACAACAAAGTCTAAAAAAAAGAGTCCGTCATTGTTTTGCAGGTACTTATTCAGGAGACTGGAGAGAGACGTATTGCGGCACTGGGTGCTGTGCATGAGTCGTACGACTGTCACAAAATGCCTGGCTGGGATAGTGGAACAGTCGGTTACCACGTAGACGATGGTAAAATATTTGAAACCGGCTTCCATGAGCTGGGAAGAGAAGTCGAAGGTATGGGTTACTCTGACGATAGGTGTACGATATCTGCCACAAGGATCTGTTGGCGTTTGGAAACATAATCAAAGTCTTACCGTCCTTCTGAGGGCGACCTTACGACAGTAGGTTTCTGTTTTCCAAAAGAAAAAGATTCAGAAATTTTCGTTTGTAAACGTTGTAGGGATCACTTTAAAATCGTTATAGACTCCTCGAGATGATTATTCTGACGTGCATGAGATAAATGGGAAATGTATTGTAGCTGTATGACCAAGATAGAATGTTGAACGTAGTTGCTGTAAAATCCATGTGCCTAGAGTGTGAAACTGAAAAAACCCTGAATCCTTCGATCGTGGGGGGTTCCAACCCTCACCTTCTGCTTGCCGATCAAATGGTCTACAGAGAACTCATTTAAGGCCAAAGAAAAACGAGATTCATATCAACAAATGCTTGACGCTGCTAGGATCATTTATATCGTCAACACTTCTTGTATAAATACAGTGAGGGAGATTAAACTTTGTCTTCGAATGAACGAGGAGGTAGGTCATTGATCAAGACCGAACAAAAAGGAAAAAAGTCCAATTTCACATCCTAGTGTTACACGGTTGGTTGCCTCATGTACTTAATGTTTTCTGTTGATAACTTAGGAGCTATGGCTTACCGCGGTGATCTCATCGCATGTGAAGTTGATTTTAGTGGAGTCCTCGAGGGCAAAGTCTCTGTGTTGTTCTTCTTGAATGGTAGAGAAGTAGTGCGTTCTTCAGTGGAGTATACAGAGGGAAATAAACTATTTCCTTTCGTTTCATTGGGATCTGAAGGCATTACAGTGCTCACCAAGGTATGTTCGAAAGAAGGAGGGCGGAGCGGGGAGCGGGGAGCGGGGAGCGGGGAGCGGGGAGGGGGAGGGGGGAGCAGGGAGGGGGAGGGAGAGGGTAATGGGCTAGAAATTGAATCTATAAATGGTTTGGTTTCATGCTAACATATCACGCCTCGGCACACTCCTCCTGTTACAGTCGAGGGATTGGTCATGAGACCAAATTAGAAGCATGTGGCGAGGAAGAACTTTGTCGTATCCAGTGTTGAAAAGACCACTAAAATTTTGTTCAAGTTTGAGTAATTTAAATGTTTGCGAACATTTACAAACTATCCAACCTTTTTACCAAAAGGCTGTGCCCTGAATGCTCTGAATGATCTCTGCAGCATATCTGTATTCCACAATTGTGAAAATTAGAGCCTATAGTTGACAACTTTTGATCATCGCTGTCCTAAAATTTCGTCTTTTTTATTTTTTAATTGGAGACGTTTGACTTTTGCACGTTTTAGATGTGCCATCCCGACAGAGACCAGTTTAGTAGAGTGACAAATGAAGACCTTCAGAAGGAAATTGGAGATCTGCGACGTGATTTTCAGGATCAACTTGACAAGCAAAGGAGGATGTTAATGTCAGAAATGAGAGATTTAGTACTGCGTTTGAAGGAAGTAAAGGATAAAGAAGAACAAGAAGAAGATACTAAGAGGCTGGACGGAGGAAAACAAAGAAGATTTTCATCTCCTCAGTAGTTGTTCGAGAACATTTATTCAGCTTAGGTGCAATCTAAATTTGTGTGAATCCCTGTACCTTTCTTAAAATTCCTCAAGTCTCGAATGAAGATAGCAGCAGAAGAGATTTTTTTATCTAATACTAGACTAATATTTTTATCGAATGTAAGCGCGAGGCGGGCACGAAGGGCGAGTCACACGCAAGGAGAGAAATATACATCTGTGCAACTTATGCATATGTGATCCCGGTGAATAAAATGATCCTCAAGTATGCACTGCAATGAACCCAGGACATTTCGAATTGATCGGCGCATAAGATCATATAGGGGGTATTTACGTAGACTATAGTTGGTGAGGTCCGTTATACCAGTCGAAGAAAAAATCAGCCGCAGAACTCTGGGAGTGAGGTGCAGTGCGCTGACATCTTTATTATTTTTTTTTTCTCGTTGTTTTCTTTTTTATCCCCGTAACGGACTTCGGTGTATCTGTCACAGTCTGATACGTGTCTATTAGAAAAAAAAAGGAAAAAGGAAGAGCGCATGTACACTTTTGAATGAATTGTATTGATGCTGTAAGGAGAAATTATCTCTTGGTCATCCATGGGAATTAAAGGTTCCACATTAGTTTTCTCTCTTACCTGATATTTCCTGGAATAAATGGGCTTAAATAGGTTTTTTTTCGTGGAGAAGTGTTGGTCTTCATAATTTGCAATAGTAAACCTTGTAAAATGTGATAACTCATCAATCTTGTCTTTTTGACTAGGTTAGCCTGAAGCTAACGTCTGACGTAAGTGGAAAGTTGCCAGAATGAATGGTTCAATAAAAAATTGTATCGCATAGTAACTCTTTGATGGCATACAAACTCCCTTGAAAATAAAAGTCTTGACTGACCAGGATATTTTTGAAGAAAGGGTTGTTTGAAGAGTATGATTGACAACTTATTTTCGCAGGTGAAACTAAAGATGCTGGTAAATTAGGAATGAGTTGTTAAACAACAGGGAAATGCAAACCCATGCAATTTTATTGAAAAGACTTTCAATAATGTCATGTGTACGTTATATCAAGCAACGATAATCACTAGTGAGTTTCAAATTTCCAAAAAACATAAATAATTTTGTAAGCAATTATAAATATCTAATTTGAAGAGATACTCTTTCGCTAAGTCTGACTCAGCGAAATCGTCTTGCGCAGGAAGATAATGGCCGACCCTGGGAATAGGTAAGTGATGATTGTCAACACTGTTTTGATTAAATTATTACATCACAACGTGTTCTAATTTGTTGCTAGCGTGATGTCTTGAACTCAGTAGAGACTGTTAGTTGTGTGGAACATCACAGATTGGACGGGTTTCCCATCCGGAGTTCATTCGACTTAGCTCTGTTCTGCTATCGAACAGTAGACTCCAGGTGTTGAATTGCGGAAAATTTATGCAAATGTATTTTGACTAAGATTGACTTTGAAATAAGTTACTAAATGAGAAAGAAAACTTTGTTGAGGTCTTATATTCTTTCAAAATTAATTCACAAAAAGAAATCCTGGTCTTCGCTCTGAAAGCGTTTTTTCTTTCGGTTCTGATTTGGCGAAGGTAGTTTTAAAGCATGTTTGAGCAGGATTTCTCGTTACTCATTATGCACACTTTTCTTTGTTAAGAAACGAGAAACAATAGCGACGCAGTAGATTTCCTTTCGGAATGCGGCTCTGTTTGCAGTTTTTGATTTGTTCCCTTTATCTTAAGAATAGAAAAATAAGTCAAATTCTCAATAAAAAATACCTCAACCTAACGACATAAGCCGAAGCCCTAGAAAAGGAAAACTCGCTAAAAATTGGTTATTTTCAACTTAGCAAGCGGTCAGATAACAAGTGATGCACTACGGAAGCAAGTATTGAGAATTTGACTTCCCAAGATAATCATCTTGGGCCGCCTGTGCTTTATCACGTCTTCTTGAGTGGCTCACAAATTAAATCCTGTGACGACGTCATTTTAACAAAGCGATGATGGCTCGAAACTTTCACAAAATCAATGATGGCTGTCTTTTTTTCTTTAAAGAGAATCATTGCATTTTAGTTGCGACAGAAACTGTGGCTTAACTGCAGAATACACCGTCACTCGAAGTAAATTCCACGTAACCGGCTACGCGATACCCTGAAAATAATTAATTCAAATAAGAATTAAATTTATTCAATGGACAAATGAATTCAAAATGGCGCAGCAATGTTCTGTTGGCTACGCGGTACGCCGTGATAACGAAGACAAAGTATTGTGCATTCCTTGTTCTTCCGGTACGCAGTACGCTGTGATAAATAATCTAAGTCAGAGGAATGTACATCCCTCGTTCTTTGAGCTTGAAAGCCCTGGATCAAAGCCTAAAAGTAATTCCACCTTCAAGACGCTGATTTATTTTTACGCCGTGATGAATAAATAATTCAAGACAGATTGTAATGTATTCCTCGTTCTTTAAGCATCAATGGGTAAGTAATTCCACAGCCTAAACACTAAGATCATATATTACTTTCTATGAACGCGATATTTCTGGTATTAAGAACGTGAAAACCTCAACTTCATTTCTCGTTCTAAAAACGTAGTACCCAAATATTTGGCCATTTTTTTTATGCCTCGTTCTATATAAAAACGCGTAAATTGTAAACACAAAATTTATCAGTAGCGAGTGTCGCGTGAAATTTTAGGCAACAAGCCGCTAAGTCAGCACTTCAGTCTTCACAAGCCAGACGCGTACCGAGGATTGTCTGTTTCTTGTTCTTTAAGTGTCGTGAAGCGTGAAGCTTGTATCATTGAAGCGCTTCAATTCGGATTTATTGACGACACGAACTTCTTTGTGCCGCGGCCTCATAATTCGCATGTAAATATAAATACGTTATAAAATGTACTTTTCCAATTTCAACGTAACGTTTTAATATCACTTTTACATATCTTATGTTGGTTACATAGACTTTAGCAAGTCTTATGATTAAATACATCAATTTCATGTAGATAATTCTACTATGGATCACTATGTACTCTGATCCTGCAATCACTTTCGAAAACCAATTACAAAATTTAAAGCGATTTTTATGGCCAAAATAAAAATGCCGAAGCTTGGGCATGTTCATCGGTGGTTAATTCAATTGTTCCTCACTGTCTTTTGGTCCTAATCTTTAAATTGATAAACGCTTGTAACGTCCTTTAAAAACACAAAGAACAAGTCCTTCCCACGGTTCATGTAACGCCAAATAAATTCAGAAAGATATGAAGAGTAATGTTCCTTTTTTTTTCCCATGTGTTGGTAGACTGACCTTCATTTACCTCCAATGTCCTTCAATTTTGTTCGTGTCGTAACCTTCCGAGTTCACAAATTCTACAGAGTGGTTCACTGTTTTATGTTCGTATCCATATTTCTCTAAGTTTACGTAATCCTTCCAGCAATCATGGACAATTGTCGTTCCTGGCTCCACCCACTCATGAATATGGCTTACGAGTGTTGCCTCGGTTCTGTCCTCAACTGTCACAATTAAGCATTTCTGGGAATATTGCTCTATTCCTCCGAAAACATACTGGCCTTCAACAACGTGTCCACGATGATATTTTCTTTTCCCTGTTTTCGACCCATCGATCTGCACAACCTTCCTGGTCGTCCAAGTCTTTCTCTTCTTTCGAACAGTGTAACCTCGCATATTTCTCGGTAAAACATGTCCTAGTCCACAGCTGTATGTGATACCAGTCCCAGTTGCTGTTTAATTTGCCACTGCTCAAGTCCCTGGTACCACCAGTATGTAAACTTCATAGTTTCCTCTGTTGACAAACTGGATTTTTCTAACCAGCTGCCTTCCCTTATGCTCTTCTCAACTCGACGTCACTTTCCGATCTGTTTGCGGCATTGCCAAACAAAAACCATCTGACCGGTCATCGTATCAAGAAATGGTCCATTGTTCCGGCTCAACTTTTTCAGTAAGCATCAAACAATGGTCCTTCTGTTATTGGGGACTTTGGCCGAAGGAAGGTGGAGAAACTCGTCACTGATCAAGAAAAAAGTCGGAGTGACAATTTTTCTGCATTGGAGGAGTGGGTAGTGTAAATATGCACTAGTAAGATCAATCTCCATCGGCGCACCCAAGGGTAGACTTGACCCTCGATGAGCTAGAGTTATCCGTATTTCAGTGACTCATTTAAACCACTACTCTCTATATGCAAGTCAAGTCGCCTGGTAAACGCACAGAATTATTTCTTGATCTTACTACTGGTGTTAAATGAAATCGAACGTGGAACCTGTATCAAGCGGTCATCCTGCCATTCCCCGTAGGTTACCGCTTAATACAGATTCGACTGTACACTACACTACAGCATTAGTTATATTTACTGGTACGAAACAGTCTGATGGTCATATCTTTTACGGAAACTTAGATAACTTTGCTGCAAACATTTTAATATTTAGTTCCTAGACTTCGCGTGGCGCGTTAACATTCTTGTTTTCGCTAATTTTTTCGGACTTGCGCAATGGACTTTGCCGAAAAGGAGGGCTTGCTCGCAGTCCATTTAGAGATTGAAACCTTTCTCAAATTTTTCTCTGTGTAACATAAAGCAAGATATCATAGTCTCTTACATAAAGATATTGCGAATGAAACACCAGGATTTCTTCAGTTTCGAAAACATAAAATCTTCACCGAATCATACCGACATTTTTGTACATTTTCAAACACAGTAATATTTTTCTCAGGCTCGTTGTTATGTGCATCAGTTCAGATGTGTTTGGAAGTTTCATTATTTGTTGTTCTATAAAGCCTGGTTTTCATTAGCGTCGAAAGCATAAGCGCAAGCACAAATAAAGCATAACAGCTCTTATTTCACTGTGAAAACAGCCTCAATGCAAGCAAAAAGACAAGCGCTTGCACAGGCACAAGAATCAGAATTTTTCCCTTTTCTTGTACTAGTGCTTGTGCTTGTGCTTGTCGACGTTCGTTTTCACTTGGTATATTTAACTTGTGCATACGTTTGTGCTCACGCTTGTGCTTGCGTCGCTAATGAAAACCAGGTTGTACGCCGTTTGTAACTGGAATACCTGATTGCTGATTCCATGGGGTAAATTGTGCTTTAGATCTGATGCACTAGATGAAGTGGAGCTGTCAGTAATTTCCGAAGAACAAGTGGTAACAGTGCCTACAGTGCCTGCCGCAGTTGCGAGGGGGCTATCACCAGAACTTGACATCAATGCTTACGTAGATAAGGATCAGGTCGAGGGGAAAATTCCTGCTGGTTTTGGTGTGTATGATCACTGAGAGTCTCATGAGGATTTGTGGGATTAATGATAACGTGCTTTGATTCATTATTGATCTACCTGTTAAAGAACTTTGTGGATACAGTCAGTTTGGTTTGTCTTGAATGTGACAGATATTAACTAAACGATTGGGTTGGGCTGGTGATAAGGATAATCATAAAAAAAACAAAACAAAAACAGAAAAAGGCTCTAGAAGTTTACTCGGTATGCAATTGACACCCTTGACAGCAGCTCCCAGTTGGCTTGTTAGTTCAGTTGGTAGAGCGCTGCACCGTTATCGCAGAGGTCATGGGTTCAAATCGTACAGGCCTGAAGTTTTTTCAGGCCTTATTTTCACTACTGCTCAAGTAGTGTTCATTACTGCGAAGATCGCTTTCATATTCATGACACCCTTGTATAGCTTAAGTTAACGCCATTTTTGGCATATTGCATCATGGATCTGTACTATCCTTGGTTTTTGTGGTCAATGCACGCATTTTGGCTTCCTATTGGTAATGTGTTGAACTGGGGACTAGAAAATGCCTTGCACGCCGTTTTTTTGTGGTTGGAAAAAATTGAATTATATTATATCGAGTCTTCACAATACTCGTTTTCTATGCCTTGCGTTTCTAACTGGTTGAATTAGACTCTTTGTTGGAGTCAAAGCTCACCGGGAAGGTAATGTGCCATCTCGTCGTCAAAGAGTAAGGTGATCAATGATTTCACTATCTTTTTTATTTCCGTGGAGGAAAAGCTCCTTTCTGCAAGCAACGAGTGTGCAGAATTATGTGGTGAACTCAATTAATCAGTCGGCTGTCAGTGGCTGTGGCCAATGATCTATAAGAGTGCAGATGCATGGTTTATCTCAAATAAGCTGTTTTTTCTCTGCCTCAGCAAATATAGTGTTCAGTTTGACAACTGTTGCGATCATTTTTCGGACTAAGCTTATTAGTAGCGATGTTGACCTCGTCTGTGTCTGTCCTCTGATAGATGATAAGAAAAACGAATCAAAATGCGTGTACGACTAAGTGTATTCCTACTTATAGATAAACAATGGCGTCAAAATTTAGTTAAAAGAACAAAAAAATAAACATCAGCGACATACGCATGCGCCTTTACCTTAAGTGTTGCCTTTTTTTTCGTTCTACAACATTTTGACGTCACTTGTGATCTATCTTTGTCTGAAAAAACACATAGCAAATTTTGATATAAATTTCTTTTCTATCACCTATCTGTAGACCCAGAGGACGAGCATGAGAATATTGATGCTTCTACTCAACGATCCCAACGTGAAAGTAAGTGAAAGAGGGAATCAAGAAGGACATAAACACAAAGCGCAAATAAACAGACTTAATAAAACATTAGTGTAGTTGTGTTACTAAGTCAACATGCATTCATTTCGTTTCTTCAAAGTTTCTTCCTTCTCCGAAGAATGTTCATCACACGAGAAACGAGGGCCACATTGAGAGGGTGGTGAAATTCAAACTTACTTCTTTTTTTGGTGGTTGTTTAATTGAAAAATGTTCATACTTGTGAATCTTTCTTGCATGTGTCTGATTGTTTTACAGAGATAGAGAAGAATTTGGATGATATTCTGCGTAAGGGTGATTTCCATGCGATTGATCAAAGAGTGACTCCAAAAACCCTGAAATGGTGTAAAACTAACACCTTAATCAAATCTTTCCAGGTTGGTCTTGTAACTTTATCTTTACCTATTTTACCGGCATAGTTTACTTAGGGCTGTATCGCCAGACTAAGTGACAAAAGTGATCCTTATTTACTTTGATTTTCGTTTCGTTTCTCCATACGATTAGCTCGATTCGTCATGCGCATACCACTCTCTCTACTAATTAGCGTCAAAGTTATAACCAATTGCTACTTGTTCACTGTCTGAGAGTGTACTTGTAAGTTTGAAGTATCACTGGCTTGCAGTTATATCTTGTTTTCTTTCTTATTGGTCATCGAGGTTTCAGTGTACTAATTTACAAAGGACAATCGAAAAAACTCTCCTGCTATGTTCAACACTGGAGGCTAACGAGAAATCAGAAACAATTTCTTTGATTTTTTTTTGAGCCATTTGATAAAAAAGATAACTTTATTCCTTTTTAAACATAGGTCAACAAAACACTGCGAGATTTAGCGGATGGTGCAAATCCGGAGAAGTACGATATAAAAAAGCTTGAAAAATCTATTGACGAGTTCACATCAGCCTTGATAGATCCCCTTAAAGCCGACGCCGATACCAGAAATACATTTCAAAGTTGTTTTGATGATCTGGTGGACAAGGCAATAGACACGAAGCAGAAGAAGGTACTACACGAGTGATAAAAAGGTTTCCAATCAATACTTTATGATATCCTTCAGCCCTAAAGTCGATTTTAGCGGGAATGCTGTCGCCCATCTGAACACACAGGTGCCCTTACCTTTACGTATTATAAAGGTAAGAAAAGAAGAGAGACAACAATGTTCCCACCAATAACCACCGGTGAGGAGGCTTTGTGTGATATTACAAAGGGGAAAATATATATTTTTTAAGATTTATGCACACAATATTACGGTATACTTGATGCCAATTTAATGTACATGACTTCATTCTTGTCTTTCCGCTGTATGTACAAGGAAGCAATTAATCAATTTCCAGTGAAAGAAATTTATATTCTGGTGAATTTACTGAATGATATGACGCCAAACTGAATGATTTAAAGACACTGAGCATATTCACAGCTCGGCGCCATAGCTAATCCGGTCAGAAATTAGTTTCTAACTTAAACTGTATTAGTTATTTCCAAGAAATCTTTTTTTACACCCTTGCTTTAGCAGTTCTATTCTGTTGTAGATCACAGATGACGTCAAAATGTGGCAAGAGCAAAAAGGTCGCTGATGACGCGCGGTCGAGTGTATCACTGATATGTCGCTGGAATTGTTTTGATTTAAATGAAGCCAAAGTAATAAGCAAGAACCAGTCCAAATTCAGCTTATTGCGTAATGAAGAAATGTAAAATGGTTTCCGTGTTTACATAGCCTGATGTAAACACGCGGGAGGTTGGGAAAACACGAGATAAGCGTAGGAAACCACGACGCGAAGCGGAGTGGTTTCCAGCTTATCGAGTGTTGTATTTACATCAGGCTATGTAAACACGGAGACCATTTTACATTTCTTTTATAAAATAACTAATGAAAGAGGAACGAAAACCGTGTTTACATACGCTCGTGTAAAATGGTTTTATGGCCAATCGGAGCGCGCGTACTATTTGAATTATTTTATAAAATAATGTATCGACGAATTTTTCGTAGTTCATCTCTCACCCAGTGGTGTATAACTTGCTCAACTCCAGATGGTACCGCTCCTTTTTTCAAGTAAGAAAAGAATCATGGCGGACACCTCAACGCTGGGGATACTTTTTTCTCAACCTCTGGACAGTGTTTGACATCGTCTTTTTTCCCTTTCTCTTTGCCATTTTCTTCGTCGTGCATTTGATAAAACAGGCCTTGAGGAGGAAAAGAGGTTTGTAATATCGTTTTGCTAGCATTACATTGTAATGCGTTTTTAGCAAGCTCTAAAGTATTCAAAAGGTTTGGGCCTTGAGGGGGGGTGAGGCGCGGAGGGTGATGGCTTTTCTTTTTATTCTTAACTCCATGAAACTGAGTTACCATGCAAGCTGAGTCCTCTCAACTGAAAGAATATAGGAGTCCTTGCTAAAACTACGCGCAAAGTGCGGGTCACGCATTTCTTCCATGGCGCGTGAAACGCGCTTCGTGCTTGCCCCGTGTTTGCCTCCATTCGCCTGGAAAACGCCAAAAAACTCCGCCGGTTCTGCAGGCTACATCGTTCAAGGAGCGTTTACAGGTCTGGTATTTATTCCCACTATTCTTAAGATTGGTTTAGATCGCTATATTCAAGTTTTGAGATTAGATACAAGCAGCTACTGGGGAGTTGTTGAGGTGCTTTGTATCAATTGTTGTATGTTTCCTTTATTGATCAGTGGTTTAATCGCTTAGCTTCTAATGCTTTCCTTAATGATTTTTTAGAAACTGAAATATGTTTTGTTTTGACGCCGGGCAAAGATACCTCAGAATTTAATCTAATTAAAAGGACGATAAAGTACATTGTTGGTGAATATGGCTGCCACTCTGCCAAATACTGTGTTGTTTTACGTGGAGACCATAAAATTATCAATATAGAGGGGTGGTCTACTGAAGCTGCACTTCGAACATGGATTGACGAGTTACAGCGGCCAAACTCTACCAGTTCACTCGATAAAGATCTTAAAGCCACCCAAAGTGCATTCACAAACCAAACACATAGGAAAGAAGCCAAAAAGGTGAGGAATACTTGCGAACAACCGTTTTCTTGAGCGCTGTCGAGTTTTGTCTCTTAACTTGTTCCCATGGGCTCATTTTGCAGCCATGGGCTGTTATCAGACCTTGGTTAGTTATACTTACAATTCGATACAATTCATATTCAATGTTGATTGATTTTGACGACCACACGCTACAGTTGAAATATCTTTAACACATAAACACAAATTATGTTTAAGTTAGTGTCAATCGATTAATTTCAACTTTCTGCTATCCATTTCACTATTTCCATTAACTGACGCCTTCTCAGCCAAAGAGCATGCTGACATTTTTGCATACATATTAATGATTTAGTTCTTTATCGTATCTGGCAGTACATGTACATAACAGCTACAGTTATCAGTTGTGTGAACAGATTCAATAAACGGTGAGATAAACAAAACGGTAAATAACTTATGCAATAGATCCATGGCCAGTAGTTAAGATACTTACAAGCACATCAGCAATATTTTCTGCGAATCCAATTATTGTTGTTCAAAGTGTTTTTTTTGTAAAAAATTCAAGCAGCTCCTTTAATTTATAAGAAGGCTGGTGTAGTTTCAAGATTGATAAGTTTGGGCTCATATTTGATAAAACTTGTAAATTGTTTTTGAGAATCAAGGGAATAAATATCACCTTTTTTTCATTTTATGTGTACAATAGGTGGTCGTGCTCTTTCTTAATGACTCGTTGAGCATGGTTAAGGCTAACAACGAGAGACTACAGTCCTTACTAAAGGAGATAGAGGATATGCAAGTTAACATCGTTCCCGTCGGTATCGGGGAGTACGCCAAATTGTCAGAGTTAAATAAGATGGCAACTAAAGATGGCACAGCACGTCATTTTGGAGAATTCGAGTCAC